TTTATTTATGTTTTTCATTTTCTTTATTTATTTTTTTCCATAATTTTATTGAGAAACAAATAGCAATGAGACAGTTTCAAATCAAATTGGTAGGACAGTTGCAATAATTAACACATTGCATACTCTCTTCCTAGTGGTTATTTGCCGTACAAGATGAAGCATGATATCCTATTTACAAACACTTAGAATAAATCCCTCTATTCAAGGCCAGACAGTTTATCTGCAGGATTCCAGCTTTCCCTGCTTCTGCTACATACTGTATTCATGTATCCCTGACCTGCCAAGGCATGACTTATCCATCTAAACACTCATTTATTTACCGAAGTAGACTTATCCTCCGGGGCATCAGTGGCATTAGGAATTCAAAACTGAACTAAATGGGAAGTTCTTTTTGTCCCATGTGGACAAAATGACAAAGGCTGTAAGAGAACCGCGTACACACACTAATGGGAACTCAGAATCATCCAGGAGTGCAGAAAGGACAGACAAAGCTCCCAAAACAGGTGACATTTGAAGTTAGGGTGTAGTTGGCTTTCTCCAGGTGGTTGGTATTGAGAGCAACTTCGGAGGTTCTCCTGCCTTTCCTGTATCATCTCCCTGCCCTGCTTGCACTCATCTCTCTTGGGAAAGAGTTGCTAAGCCAGGTTATCACCCTTATCGAAGAGTGCATTGTCCCATCTAAGTAAGATGCTTGTATTTGAACACTGCAGTTGTATGGCTAATGCCTCAATTCAAGTGACTCCTTTAATGAGGACTGTGTTTTCAGGGTGCGAGATGGTCATAGGCCAGGGCAGCTGTGCTCCCATTAGCTCCACCCTGTTGTGACTGCTTCCAGACTGTAAGCATAGCAGTGACTTTGCTCGGAAGAGGTGCTTACCTGGCTTCCAGGATTTTAAGGGCCCATTAAATATGTCACAATTGGTTTGGATCTAGAATGGCAGAAAACACTGCCCAAGCTTGGTATGAAAGAAAGGTGTCACAATAGAAAGGAATTGGGGCCAGGGAGATGGCTCAGTGGAATAAGTGCTTCCCTGGCAAGTGCAAGGGCCTGAGTTCAATCCCCGGTTCTGCAAAAAAAAAAAAAAAAAAAAAGAACAGACCCTGACAGAGCAGCTCAGTCTCCGTCCCACCCACTTGGCTCCCCCATCCTCATTCCTCCATCCCTAGCTCTCAGGGCTGCAAGGAAGGTGTGGGAATAACTCTCCTAACTGCTCAGTGGCCTTTCCAGCTGCTTACAATACCTCTTGCTGCTTCTGCCACTGTGCATGCTACAAATGCTTTTTGCATGTTTTTCTGAGCTCTCTCCTCCTAAGATTGCTGCTGTCTTTTTAGCTGTTAGCAGCCACAAAGTCTGGAGATACTTTCAAGATAGGACCTTAATATTCTTTCCTTTTCTTCTTCCCCTTGCCTGATATCCATTCGCAAACAGCGCTCCTGTTATCTCCAGGTAAGAGGTGTCTTCCATCTTTTCTAATTCTTGCCAGTTACATTCTGTTTTAGGATCAGTGTCCTTTAACTTACCTAATAGTATTTATAGGTTCAAGTCAACTTGACAAGTTCTCCCTAGGACTGGGAGACTTGTTTCCCCTCATGAACTAATTATCAGAACTAGACAGTTGCTTGAGCGTCATTTCTGTGACTGAATATTTCTGAGATGTGGACAATGTATAGCTGATCCTCTCTGGGACCAGAAACCAGGAAGATAAATGAAGCTTATCAAGAAGCTGGTGGGTCATAGGCTTATTCACCTGCATCTTCTGTGTTGGAGAAAAGAGAGTGAAAGTCAGACCTGGAATCTTTTAACAGGATAATGATGAGATTTGCAAGGAAATACTGATCTCAGGAGATGCAAGAGAAAATAATCATAAGAGCTGCTGTGAGAATGTGAAGAGCAATTTTTAAAAATAATCTGGAACTTTACTCCTTCTGTAGGTCTTCTATCTTTTTTTTTTTTTTTTTTAGATCTTCCGTCTTATCACAACTGACACCTCAATTGCTAGAATTGGGGTTCATCTGCCACTGATTCTTAAAGGCAAATATGCCATGAATAGCAAGAAGGGAGACAGAGGCAATATTCGGGCTGGAAATAGACATTTAGTGAATGTATTTCTGAGACATTCTGATGCAGAATCTGATTCTTGGTAGAGTATACCCCAGCATTGAGAGTATGCTTGCAGATGGAAAAAGGAGTCACAATAACCATCTTCATGAGCCGATACAAAAGTATTTCCTTGTATCTAACAATACTATAACTCTTGAGTCAGAGTAGGCTCTACAAGACTGTTCCAATAGTTCTTAGAAGACCCTCACATTTCATCAGTTGTTTGAACACAGAAAAAACTTAAGGTCTCTAATATGGCACCCTTTTATGGAGTTCACTTTACTTAGTTATGTGCAGCACTGAGCTCAGGAAGAGGCAGTGTACAGAGCAGGGCCTTCAGCCTCTGCAGCCCCAGGTGAAAAATGTAGGCAATTCCTGTGTTTTCCTTTGGTAAATAAAAGGAGCTCCAGTTGTTTGTTTCTTTGTTTTTGTTTTTTCTTTTTGATTCCTTTTTAAGCCAAGAGGCTGAGGGCCACCCCCAGCTCTGTATTCTCTACTCTTCTCCCAGGGTATTGCTCTTAGAGCCCGGGCCTTGCTTCTCCACCTCACTCAACCTCTTGCAGGAGAAGATATTTAGTTTTCTTTGTTCCAACTCTCATCTCCACCCACTCCACACACACAAAAGTTGTGATTATGATGCACATGCAGATGTCAATAGAAGCTAAAGTGAGGATTGTATTTTCTAGATCTCCCAATCTGCAAACTTTGTATTTTAGGAAAACTTGATTCAGTTTTAATACCACTAGAAATCTAAATCTTTCTTTTAACTTTACCAAGAGGACAGGCCAACATAACTAACAATGCCTGGTAGTAAAAGACAGAAAATATATTCATCCTGAGCTACTCCACCAAGTTCAGGGACTTCGGGGGTGAGAATCCTGGTTGCAGTACCCCACTTCCTTGTGAGGGTGCCCGCCCTATCAGGCCTAGCAATCTCTTTGTTCTTTCAATATTGTCTAATATTCCATCCTATTTATTCTCTCTTTCTCTCCCTCCCTTCCTCCCAGCCTCCCTCCCCGATCCTTAGAATCGAGAGTTTGTTTAGTCAGTTTATATATAAAAAACTGTCATTTATCCTCTTTGCTTAAAATTCTGAGGAGTTGCATGATCAGAGTCACCATAGTTTTCAGTCTGATATGTAACTTTCTTTCAAGAAATTAACTTCATCTGAATTTAAAGCCACCAACATTACAAAAATAGAATAAGGGAGGAGATCCTGCCAAACTAAGACACCAAATCAGAGTTTATGTAAAAGCATGTGAATATGGAAAGCTGTGAATTAGTAGATATATAGAGCCCCTCTGTGGAGCTGTGAGAAACCCAAAAATGAAGATTGGTTATTTGCCAAGGAGATTTTTTGTGGAAAGCTAGATGGGAAAACTGACTGTCACCGCAGGGTGGCCAGGTCAGTAGGTAGATCAATATCCTGCCAGATGGACATAGTGCTAGATTGATAGCTAGACAAGAGGTTAGACAGGTACATTTATATGTCACTGGAGAGCTCATTATAGTGGAAAAGGTTCTTGTGACACATGTAAAGTATGACATAGGGGAAGCCAGAGAAGGAGGAGAAGCAGAATGACACTGTCACTGCTAAGACAGGCATGGTGATATGGTTCCAAAACCTGCATTTAGAAGAGAACACTGCTGCATTCTTTCAAGGACTCTATATTTTTCTAAGGGCTTTTTTCCAGAGTGGCCTATGTACAGTCTGGTTTCTAGTTTGTTGGCTTCACACATAGCCAGATCTGTAGAGGCACTCTAATTTACCTTCACAACTAACTAATCAAAGAATCAGAGTAAACAAACTAAGTGAAATTAGGCTGCTAGAGGGTATCCACTGACTTGGAAATGTCCATAGGTCGTTGAGAAATAGAAACAGTTATGTCCAAAGTAGTCACCAATACAGGAGAGGGGGCAGCACCATGGACAGCTCCCAGGCATTTTAGGATCCCCTTCTCTGCTTGGGGCCAGAAACTCGGAGCCAGCTCAGCACCCCACGCTCATCCCATTTTCATTCAGCTCAACTGAGAAAGTTGCTATATCAGATGCAACGTTTCTCTGCTGGTAACTTAGTCCTTGGCTTACAGACTTCAGTAAATTCCTTTCACGGCAACCTCAAGAGCTTGAGTCTCACCCCTCTCCTCACTTTCATTAATTTCTCTGCTGGAAAGAAAAGAAGGCCTTCTTGGTCTCTGACCCATTTTGTCCTTGAGATTATCCAAGAACTAGAGGATTCCTCTGGGAGGTTTACTGTGTGGAATGAAAGCAATTAAGGAGCCGAAGAAAAGAATTAATTGCATGTAAGAATGTGGACCTGGATGGGAAGATGTTTAAATGAGCTCTGAAAGAAACAGCCTGCCAAGAGCGATTTTCTAATCAAAGGGGAATAAAAAGATTCAATCTCTATTTCACTCTAATCCAGAAAATACATCTCATGGTGAAGTGATCTTAAAATGTTCTCACCAGCTAAACCAGAAAAAGTGTCTCTCTGCTCCCCGTGAGAGGGGACCATTGGCAAATGAGTCAAGATCCCAAGGGACACTGCGAATGCTCCAAAGAATGTAAAAGGAGACCCTTCTATAATTTTGGTTTTTGAACAAGTATTTGTATTGCAGAAGAAATGTATCTGATTTGTACAGAAATTCTGGGATCTCTTACTGGAACAGTGTGAAATTTTTCTGGAACTTTTCCAAGTTTCTCATTATGAGGATACTATTTGCTTGTATGAAGTGTAGCTATCCTGGAAATTTCCCCTTTCTTCCTTGATAGAGGAGATAACACCAACGGCATTAGGAACAAACGTTACATGCACCAGTAGACACTTCCTTTTGATCAGTGTGCCTTCAAGAACAGTTCTGTGAAGTGGTCGGACAACCAGTCTGGTGCAACAGTTCAAAACAGTTAGAGGACAAGAGAGCTGCCCTTTCTTCACAGCTCCCCAATATCTCACTGAATGACTTAGGAACTTCACTTGGTGCTGCTGGGTGCTTGAAGGGTCTTTGGGTTGGATTTCCTGTGCAGGTAAACAACATAAAGAAGAATGCTTGTCCCAGGCCTGCTAGGAACCATATCCTGGTCTAACGTTCATAAAGTATTCAGCATACTGCAGAAGCAGCACCAAATCATACATGGGGACCTCATTCCCAAGATATTTGGTTGTACACATTGCCCATGACTAATGATCAGAGCTTTAGTTTTCTGGGGAATGGAAATGGTACTAAATCTTGTCTGACTTTCTTTCATTGCAGAGGTGACAGACAGGAAGCTAACTGTGGAGGAAGAGGAGGCCAAGAGGATAGCAGAAATGGGAAAGCCAGTATTGGGTGAACACCCCAAGCTAGAGGTCATCATTGAAGAATCCTATGAATTCAAGGTCAGGCCACTAGTGAGATCTAATGGCATAATTGATTAATTAAGGTGATGGGGGCAGAAGACCTGAGGTTTTGTTCAGTTTTACCACTGGATATGTGATGTTAAAGTTGAAGAAATCACTCAACCACCCCAGGCCTGTTTCTCCAAGTGTATCATGTTATAAATAGTGCTGGCCATTTGTATGCTATAAATATTATGAAGAAATAGGATAGCCAAGATGCATCATCACCATTTTTTGTTTGTTTGTTTGTTTGTTGTTTGCTTGGTCTTCTTGAGACAGGGTCTTGCTATGCAATTCAGGCTGTCCTTGAGCCCACTTTGTAGTCCCCAGACTGGTCTGGAACTCTCAATGATCCTCCTGCCTCAGCCTGCCGAGTGCTGGGATTGCGGGTGTGCGCCACCACGCCCAGTCATTATCACCATTTTTAACTGCATTTTTAAGACAAAGACATTAAAATACATTCCTCAGAGAATGCATTTTATGAATTTTTATTTTAAATGAATTCCTCAGAGATGACTTATTGACATCATACCTTTCTTCTCTATTTTATTATACTCTATATTAAATGCCGTAAGTTACAACCCAAGGAAGGAGACTGTCCCACGGGATAGCGTAGCTCTCAGAACTCTTAGAGTGCAGGGCATCTTTCATTGCTTTGCAGCACCAGACTCTTCGTTGGTGCCGAGCATCCTAACCTCATGATTCCAAGTTTTTCTCTCCCTGGCAGACTACAGTGGACAAACTGATCAAGAAGACAAACCTGGCCATGGTTGTAGGGACCCATTCCTGGAGGGACCAGTTCATGGAGGCCATCACTGTCAGTGCGGGTAAGAAGGGTCTCGAGATGGCTTTGCTGGGAAAAGCCATCAGTCCCCAAGCAGGAAAAGCAGGGACCTAGAGTGACTCAGCAGTCCTGAAAGAGCACTGTGTCCCATCTTCCTGGCTCTGGTGCTAGATGTTGAAGTATTTCACTAGATCACATTGGAACAGAATTGTGGTTCATCTGAATTCAAATCCTGGTTCTGCTTTATGTACTAGAGCACTTATCTCTCCACCCCCCGACTGCCCTCGTCCAGGATGGGAACTATAGCTACCTCTCTCAGAAAAGTTGAAAGGTGCAGTCAGTTACAAAGTATGTATGTCATAAATACCAGTCTCCGTCATTGCTGCCTCTCATTAACTTGGTCTCTTCTCTGCTTTAAAACGAGGCAGGAGGCAATTCCGATTCAGAGTTGCAGGGATCAGCATTGACTCTCTGGCAAATCTCCACCCTGGGTAATGCCAGATCCCTCCTATAGCATTTCCTCACGGGTCCTTCGATGGTGACCCACAGCACAGCCAGGGGCCGAGCGGCCTACAGATGTGTTGGAATGGGAGCGGACAGCCATCCCTATAGTACCTCCTTGTACTGCTGAGCCTAGTGGCCTTGCTTTTTTTCGTGAGGTTTTTGTTGTCATAGCAATCCACAGGGTCACATCCCTAAGGCCCCAGAGCCTGAGCAAAGTACATCCAGGAAGAGAGGTTTGTGGCTGCTTCTGCCGCTGCCCTACTTTCACGGTGTCCCTTCTAGTGACCCCTCTCATGGCCTGAAACTGTGTCTTTCAAAAGACAATAAATGGAATGTAGGCCATATCACCTACTCCTTTTAGACATGAGGGAACTAAGGTTGAGAAACAACAGAAAAATGTACCCAGTTACAAATTTTCTTAATGTCAAAGCTGGAATTAGAACCCGGATTCCTGACTTTTGCCCTTTTGAAACTCAGCTTCTATGGGTTACGTCAGAACATCACAGAGGCTGCCCTTGACAGTGTGCTAGGGAGCCTCTGCACAGCTTGTCCTCGTGGGCCACTAAATGGGAATTTCTGCCCCTGCTTCCTGGCAAGGACAATGGGGTCCCAGTCCCACTGTGTCTCGTGGGAAATTCAGAGGAAGGTACTGACTCCTGCATTGTCTGGCATGTCAGCCATCCCTCCGGGGGTGGTTCGTGACCCAAATCAGGATGATATTACAGTAACCAGGTCATTAAATTCAAGAGAAGCCATGTTGGCATCCAGTGAAGAACATGCACATGGAAATTGTGGGTTTGGTTTTGTTGCGTTGCCTGGGCAGAGATATACCCAGCCTGCTCCAGCCTGCTTTTTTCCTCCCCCACTATCTATCCTTCTCATATCTCCCTGCTCCTTCTCTCACTCTGTCTCTCTTCCTTGTTTTCCCATCCTCTCTTTCCCACTCGCCCTTGCTGCTTTGCACTCAGATTGGCCAGTAACCAAATGATTTCCAATTTCCCAGCCCCTTTTCAGTACCCATGCCCGGTGCCTTGCCAGCTGCCCAGCATGAAGTGTAGGCCCCTAGTGCCTATAAACTGGGCTGGACCTGGCTTTCTTGTGCAGGACAGATATCTGAGGTTGCCACCCTTCCTCGGCCTCTCTATCTTCTCTCCAGCAGGGGACGAGGATGAAGATGAATCAGGGGAGGAGAGGCTGCCCTCCTGCTTCGACTACGTCATGCACTTCCTGACCGTCTTCTGGAAGGTGCTGTTCGCCTGTGTGCCCCCCACTGAGTACTGCCACGGCTGGGCCTGCTTTGTCGTCTCCATCCTCATCATTGGCATGCTCACTGCCATTATCGGGGACCTGGCCTCCCACTTCGGCTGCACCATTGGTCTCAAGGATTCAGTCACAGCTGTTGTCTTCGTAGCGTTCGGCACCTCTGTGCCAGGTGAGAGGACAAGTGCTCTAGTTCACAAAGAGGGCCTTTCCCAGCTCAGATGCTCCCTTCCCTTGGCCTTGTCTGTTTCTTGATCTCAGACGGGCATGTAAGAGAACATCTGCTCTCACAGTGAGTGAAAGTCAGAGAGATTACTGCTGGTATTGATCAGGACAGCCAACATTTCCTGGACAGTTTTGATGGGATGGACACAGTGTATGCTAAACAGTTCACAGGTTCAGTCCCCACAATGCTCACCCAGATTCTATTGAACAGTCAAATCACTGTCCTCATGTGATAGATGAGACACTGATGTGTGCAGAAATTAACCCACCTGCCCAATCAGTGACCCAGTTTCCTAATCCACACATTATATTGATTAATGGAACAAAATATGTGATACTGTTGTTCCACTTACCACTGGCAATCTCTGAGAGGATCAAGATTGGCCTGCTTGAAGATGTCACTGCAGAAACACTACAAGCATTTTGACCTCTTCAGCATGCATGGACACCTGTGGGAACAGTGAGTCTCCTAGCAGGATGGGCAAAGAAAGCTTAGCAAGATTTGTCCTTTCCCATGATGCTCGTATTGTCTCCCAAGCACCAAGACACAAAAGGAGTCGGCATTAATTTATTTATAAGAGAAATGCTTCCTGAGCTCCACTAGCATCTCAGAGTACTGTGCTAGTTGCCTGAATCATAAGAAGCAAGGTAGATATGTTGCCCTCTCCATCCACTTTGAATACTTCAATTAGAGTCCACTTTGATTAAAATCATCGTGATGAATTCTGCGAAGTAAAACTCTAAAATAGGAAGCTATGGGCCAGGCTAGGGTTGGGGATGCCTTCTGAGGGGAGTCAAGGGGAAGCTGGGCCTCGCCGATGAGTTGGAGTTAGTGGATACAGAGAGATGCTTTGCCAAGTTCCTTGCTTAGTTCATTTGTGGTCTCCAGTGCATCCTAGACCTGAACCCCTAGCAGATCCATCTGCCCTAGGGAAAAGCAAAGGCATCTTCTCATGGGAGGTTAGCGAGGAGTAAGCTGGCTGGACCAATGGAAACCCTTCCTGTAACAAGAACACATACCTGAAACTGTCCCAGGTTAAGGAAACAGCTTCCCCAAGCCCTAGCACAGGTGGGGTGATAAGCACATTAGTAACACAAGAAGTTTGGCTGTCATGGAATCTGGTGATTGTAAACTAAATGCATGCTGCAGGGAAGGTTTTGTGGATGTGGTACCCTGTGAGTGCTGTTCTTCAAGCCACTGGAGGAAAAAGCAGATGTGGGCGAAACACATGTGGGGAGAACTCACAGATGATAGGAAGCAAAAAGGCAAGGTCACAGCAAGGAGGGAGGGTTTTCTCAGGAAGTCTGAGAAGACTGGCAGTGGTGAGGTAAGGCAGGGCAAGCCCCATTGCCCCAGAAGATGCCTGATGGCATTTGGTAGCTTAGGAAGGGGAAGCTGTGGTCCATGCCTATTTTCATAGCTTTGACTGGCACTCTCGGGATGTGGGTCAGTGGTGTAGAAAAATATTTATAAGATTGTTTTAGGGTAAAATCTCTCGCCAACTTCCTTTGTGACCTTGGCTAGATTCCTTATTTTTCTCCCTGTGAAATAAGCAGGTCGAAGCAGGTATTCCTGGTGGCCCTCCCTGCTCCTATAATCTGTAGCAGGATCGAGTCAAATGTCCTCCAAGCCCTGTGAGCACTGCAGTGCCTGCCCTGTCCTCTTTGGGTTCACCACTCACCCTGCCTCTCCCTACAGTGGTTCTCTAGCATGTCTTCTGACCCCAGACATCCGTGCTTGAGCCTGAGGCCCCATGTACTGCTGAGTCACCATCAGTGTTGCACATCTGTGCCATTCACCAGTTGTGGTCAGGTTTTTCCTCCAGGCAGTTTGCAGGGATGTCACAGTTCCCTGGGGAGTACGAAATGACAAACTCACTCACTCACTGAGAAAGCAGTCACAGGACGAGTGAGCCTGCTGGTTAAGTATTAGGACTAGAATAGATCTTTTAGATTCCTGCAAATGAGAAACAAGAAGCCCACAACAGCACTGTGACTTGCCCAGTGCAGTTCCCTCCTCAGTGGCTGAGTTGGGAGTGGCCTCTTAGTGCTTAGGCTGAGCTGGCTTTCCAAACCTTCCACATGTTGGTCTCCTGCCAGCTTCCATTTGTCTCTGTCCTTTTCCAGATACGTTTGCCAGCAAAGCTGCCGCCCTCCAGGATGTGTACGCGGATGCCTCCATTGGCAATGTTACAGGCAGTAACGCTGTCAATGTCTTCCTGGGTATTGGCTTGGCCTGGTCCGTGGCCGCCATCTACTGGGCCCTGCAGGGACAGGAGTTCCATGTGTCAGCGGGCACGCTGGCCTTCTCCGTCACCCTTTTCACCATCTTTGCGTTTGTCTGCATCAGTGTGCTCTTGTACCGAAGGCGGCCACACCTGGGCGGGGAGCTTGGTGGGCCCCGTGGCTGCAAGCTTGCCACTACGTGGCTCTTTGTGGGCCTATGGCTCCTCTACATACTCTTTGCCACCCTGGAGGCCTATTGCTACATCAAGGGGTTCTGAGCCATGGAACAGGGCCTCCAGAAGGACAGACCTCGGACTTCTACCAGGAGAAGGGCCCTCCCCCAACAGGGACCTTTCCCAGTTGACAGCCCTACACAGACCACCCGGGGCTCGTGCCCTAGGAGCTTCACCTGACTCTGGCCATGCACTGGAAAAAGTCCGAATCAAACAGAATGGGGGCAACATCAACTTTCCAGAGTATTTCATTAAATACAAATCAACAGCAGCAACAAATCCACCTCTATACCATCCTCCCACACCTGTCCCAAGTCCACAGCAAAGGTCAGGCCCTTCCTCCTCCTGTTTTGCCTTCCAGTGACTCCTTTGCCTCCAGGTTCCTTGGGGACAGGGTCTCTGCCATCTGACCCATGTGATAGATCATGATTCTCGGGTTCAGCTTGGAAAGATGTGGAAATGACTCCTTTCCATGTGGCTGGTTTAGGGTTCTCTTTTCATTGTAATCATTATCATAGATGCTTTTGTTTTTCCACAAGATTTTACTTGTTTGGTCTTGTCTTTTCTTTCTGAAGTCAGTGACAAAGGTGCCATGGAGGAACTCCACGTCTGAGCCCGCAGACAGAGGCATGGATCTTCAGATGCACTGTGACTCTCCAGAGGTCACCCCCATGCTTGGCTCAGCAAGGTCCTGTCCCCTATCCCCTCCCCCCAGTTCTTTGATGACAGATGACATTTGGGTCAAGTAAGTTCAACATGAGGATCAAGAAGAGCTTATTTGCCTCCATTGGAATCAAATCAAACATACGCAACTGTCTTTCTCCCTGTTCACATCCGCCCACTCTGTAGGTCTTGTTTCAGGGTTTTACATGTGGCCTCCTGCAGAAAACTCCATGTAATGCATGCTTGTAGGGCAAAGGTTGGAATAGGATGGTTGGGTGAACAAGAGGGATGCACATGCCTTCTTAAACATCTCTGGTTTAGCATGTGAGGCAGGAGACAAGAGGTGTTTAACCAGTGAGATCTTCAAGGGAAAAGATTATACAGCATTGAAAATGGCAGTGTTTCTGAGAAACGTCGACCTCACACCCCCTCACATCCCTATACACCACACTAAGAGGGCTCACTATATTTTCTTAACATAATGAAAGAATTTAGAGGTTTATAAGAGAATAAAGGAATTTTCCCACCTCTCCTGGTCCTCGGGCCAGGTTGGAAAGAATTTTCACAGGATAGGAACTGAAGTCCTCGTTTCTCCCATGTCCCTGCTTGTTTATAAACCTCATGAAGCTCTTTTACCAGCCTTGGTGGGGGTTGCTATTTCTTGCCCCTCTAAGAAGCCTCTCAGTTGCTGAAATCCCATGGAGTGCAAGTTTCTAGAAAAAGAGACTGACAGGCTCTGTGGACCTTTTCCCAGTGGACTGTGAAAGGATATGGCTTTAAAACACACAAACCCACATATGACATCACCACAAAACTGCCCACAGATCTTTAGGCTTTCTGCATTGACATGAATACATTTTCTAAGGGGGAAAAATAAAAAAAAAAAACCTGTTTAATTTTAAACACATTTTTTAAGAAAAAAATAACTAAAAAAGAAATCGTGCTCGTGTCATAAGCTACGTTGACAGTTGCCAGTGGAAATATTGGGTTGGTTAAAAAAAAATAAAAGCTCTACTTATATCTCTCTATATCCAGCTTGCTTCTCTCTGTGCTTCTTCAGGGAAAGGTCTGGGGGCTGCCCTGGTTGGGTCCTGAACTGGGTGCGATGGAGGAGAAGGAGCCATCTCCCTGCCTGCTCAGGCACTGATGAACTAGACAGGGCACTTTTTAAACAAAAATATTTCAGGGAACTGCCACCAGACAAAAATCTAGCCTGGAGTACATAATAAGTGAGATCTAGGATAGGAAAGAAAAAGGAGTCTTTTGTTTTCAAACAGAACCATGGAGCAGGGTTGCAGCTAGGAAACCAGTGCCCATATTTATTTCCAATAAGCATGTATTCAATATCCACCATTCAACAAGCATTTTGCACACCTTATAGGAGTTGAGCTATATTCTGCTAGCACAACACGAGTAAGAGATAGTTCCAGACCACAAGAAATGCCTGGTCTGGGCAGGGGAGAATAAAACTTGTTTTAACAGTGCTTTTTGGGTTATAAGAGACAAAGCAGTGAGAATGGTTGAAAGAAGATGGGGGTATGGTGAAGGCCCACGAGGGGAATGGTGGGCACAAGCAAGAAGCACAGTCTGGGCACAGGGGCCTGAATGCCACCCCCAGCCACCTCCCTGAGCCCATGCTGTCCTTCCCATCTTTGCTTCCCTCATCTGTAGAGCCCATCATGGCCTTTGCTTCCCAGGGGGCTTCCAGCAGCCACCAACCCTGGCATTCATTCACAACCTCACTGACACACACACACACACACACACACACACACACACACAAGCAGAGCTTCCTTTTTCTCATCTGAATATAAATTGAGAGAGTGGGGCCAATTCTGCATTCCCAGAGGGCCAGTTGGGAAGATAAAAACCTTAGCAGAAGGTGGTCTTGGTGGCCAGGTGCCTTTGCATTATCTGTCGGTCATTAAGTGTTTATTCCTGGCCCAAATAACTTGGGCAAGGAAATGTGGGTGGGGGTCACATTGCATTATAGTGCCCCTTCCTGACAATAATGGGAGCACACTGGTAAATGAGCTTGTAAGCCCAAGCTGCAAGCCAAAGTGGCCACTCTGTTGTCATGTTCGAGGAGTGGTGGTGGCGACACCATGGAAAAAACCCATAAACTCAACCTGGGACAACTGGGAAAGAGCCCGCAGAGAAAGTCATGCATAGGCAGGGCCTTGAAGGATGAATCAGTAGTAGTTTCCTTTGGTGAAACAGCTTGATACTGAAGGACCGTCACTAAAGCAATGGCATGCCCTAAGGCACAGGGTGAAACTGGACATGGTGGGCCACAAGGCCGAAGTAGTTGGCATTGCTGAAGTGTTCTCAGAGTTCAAGAGAAAGGAAAGAGTGAGCCACTCTGGACTCTGTTCCACCTGGGAGTTTGAGATGTGTTAGGCCAAAGAAGTGTTATCAGCTTATGTTGAAAGTGTTCTATTTTTTTCTTTCTAGACTGTGGTGTGGGGTTTTAGTTCTTACCTGAGCTTAGCCTTTTGGCCAAAAATGAGGCTGAGAAAGTGTTGTCAGGTGTACAGATACTGCCTTGGATGTGGTAACTGGAGAGCAACTGGACTGAAAAGTAAAAACACTGTAGAAGAGCAAGTAGGAAGAAAGCCTTGCTCAACGGCTCTTTTCTAGCCTTAAAAAAAACCTTTGAGTTTGTTAAATGACAGTCACAAAATCATAAAATCCACGTGTGTCCATCTCTTCCAGTCTCAGAATTGTTTCTGGACTATCCAGATGCGGGGTGTTATCAAGAGAGAAACTGGAGTGGCCTACAGAGAATGGAGAGAAGGCTGGAGGGGGCATCCTGGGACCCCGGAGACCCGGGTACGATCTAGATGCCGCCAACAACCACTCCTGTAACCCATCCTTCTGCTGGGTTACAATGAGAGCCTCAGAAGCTAGTGATTTCCACTTTAATGTTCAGACTCTAGAATACATTAAAAAAAATTGTGTGTATGTGTGTACAAGCATATTTGCACATGTGCACATGGCCAGGCTGCCTGACAAACCTTGATTGACCTCATAGTGCAGCTGTCCCTCATCTGTAGAGCCCATCATGGCCTTTGCTTCACAGAGCCTTGGTGCTGTGGCCCGTGTATTCGTATGAAAACGACACTGCCAGCTGTTGCCCTTGCTTCCCCGGGGCTTCCTCTGTTCTGTTTCACCTACAGCCCATATTTATTTTAGGCACCTTCTACTGACTGAGCCACAACATTCTCCTGCTTTTATCCATTCTCAGGATGGTACTAGATTCTATAAAAAGTCAACCACAGTATTTCATTGGCTTTAGCAAGACCCAAGTTCATTTCCCATTCGTGTACTAATTCAGTGGGGATGGACTTGGCCTGCGGGTGACTTCTTCCACTTTGCGATTCAGAGACAGTTTCTTTCCATTTTGTGACTGCTACCTTCTAGGGCAGCAGGAGGAGGAAGATTAGAGAAGGTGCCAGCATTCCTAACAGCCCTGACCCCAAAGAAATACTCATCCCTGTTGCTCATATTCTCTTAGTAAAAGCTGGTCTTTCTAACCCACCCAAATGCAAAAGAAATGCATCACTCTTACACTGGGAGGCCCTCCCCACTGACCACTCTATACTATGAAAGGATGAATGTTTTAGAGACCCTTGTACCTGCCACAACCCCACTGTGGCTCAGAATTGATATTTTAATACCAGTGACCAAAGGTACAGTGACCGACCTGTGTCTCTCCGGTTTTTCAAAACCTTTGAAGGATAATTAGAACCACAAAAGATAGGTGGTATTATTTTACTAGTGAAGTTTTATGCAATTCCCAGGAGCACAGACAAAAGTGTCAGGCAAAAACGCAGGTCTTCTGCTTCCTAATTCTGCTCAGAGTACTTTCCCCAGGCCATTGTGACTTCTTGTGACAAACACCAAAATGTGCAGCGAGAGAGACTGGACTATGTTTGCAGGTCTGGTCAGTGAAAGCATCCCACAGAGGCAGCCAGTATCCAGGCAGGGAAGGGAGGAGAAGTCAGCCACCGGCTGTTCTCTCTGCAGTGGCTCCTTTCTTCTCTGCTTTGTCTCTGTCCTCATCCAATGAGGGGCTTTCCTGTCAGGGCACATCAATAGGCCACTGTACCAATATGAGCCAAAGGGAGATGGGATAAATTGATTTGCACTGAGGAGCCTAATTACTGAGAATTAGGAGAGCACCATCTAGCCCCAGAGAGGGATGATTCCAAAGACATCTTCTGGGAAAGGGTATCCACAGAAAGACTCCTGTGTCACATGGAATGGCATTTTCAGAAGGGGGTTTACATCTTAGTCCATTTGGTATCACAGTAACAAAATACCAGAGGCCCAGCACTCTACTGAGCTCACAAGTCTGGAGGCCCAAGACCACGGCACTGGTGCCTGCTCAGCCTCTGTGGCATCACCACACAACACTGGGGACCAAGCTGTAACACAAGCCTTGGCAGAGATGAGCCACATCCACATCACAGCAGTTGGATCGGCTTTGTTAAAAATGAGATGGGCCTTTGCCCATAAACTTAAGTGGAATCAATCATTCTTTTCATTACACATTAACTGAAGTTTGGCAGACAAATACACGTGATATATATTCAGAGTGTACAATGCAGTATTTTGATTTATGTACATGCTGTGAAATGATCACCATAGCGAAGCTGATGAATGTATCCATCATCTTGTGCAGTTGTCTTTTTCATATGCTGAGAATATGTAAGACCTACTTGCTTAGTAAATTTCAATTATGTACCATACATTATTATCAACCATGGCAGTCACCATGTACATGTTAGGACTCCAGACCCTATTTCATCCTCAAACTACAAGTTTACACCCTAGAAACACCACCTCTCTACTTACTCACTCCAACCCCTGGTAACCACCCTTCTACTATCTGCTCTATGAACTAGACTTTCCCAGATTTCTCATGAAGCTGTGATAGAGAAGCATTTGTCTTTCTGTACCTGGTTCATTCCATTTAACATAATGTCTTTAGTTCATCCATGTTGCTCAAATGATAGGATTTCCTTCTTTTTTGAAGTAGCATGATATTCTATTACATTTTATAGCATAATTTATCTATTCATTTGTTAACAGACTCTTAGGTTGTTTTGGCTACTATGAAGAATGTTGCAACAAACATGGGTTCAGAGACATCACTTTTAGATTCTAGTTTCATTTCCATTTTGCTATAGAAGAAGTGGGATTGCATCATTCCCTCCTAAAAATCTGGGAAGAAGTTGACCCAAGCTAAATTCTTCTGTGTCTTATAATCTCTGAAGTCTGTCCCACATGCTGCACTGGCCCTGCACCCAGGGCGTGCTGAGCTGGCAACTGAGTCTGGGTGTGGTGGCACATGCCTGTAACCCATGCTGGGGAGGAGGCTGAAAACAGGAGGATCACTACAAGTCTGAGATGCGTAGTGAGGCCCTGTACCAAATACATAAATAAAACAAAAATCTTTGGAGTCTAGTTCTAACCTTAGCCCTTTGTACTGTATTTCAAGTTCTTTGAAACCTGTACCTCAGTGGAAACCCAGCAGGAGCTGGCTGTCACTCTGTCTTCTTTATTGCTCTTATACATCACATCAGCGCAGTGGCTTCTGTGTTGTGTGGTAAGTGCCATTCCTTTGCTATGCTCACCACCTTTGGCTGGGTCTTCATACAATCATTTTCTCTTTCCATGTCTGTGAGGCAGAAGTTATAACCTGGTGATCAGCAAACTTGGTATGTTGGATCCATCCAGAACTTTTTCAAGAATGTGACTAGCTGCAAAATTTTAAAGCCAAAACGTTTTGGGCTCATCCAGGAATTTGCTCCTCTGACCACACTGGCTGAGCATTTCTGCATGGAAGCAACGCAAGGCAGCTCGTCAGACAGCATGCCACATACTCAGGGCCTACCCTGTCAGTTCTCTGGAATTCCTACCCAAACCATCTCTCGTTTGAGGGACCAGCCTTGCCCAGGGGTCATTTGCACGTAAGACACA